CCCCCCCCCCCCCCCTCCAGTTCTAAATCAATTGAACTACTGGTAAGAGAAGGCGAGCAGAAGTAGAAGTAGAAGCCCTTACAGGCACACTACGGGGTCGCGGCAAGGGGTGAAAACGTACAATTCATAGTCGTAAGAAGGGTAGAAACAGGAGCCCAGGTGGAAAAAGGGATTACAGTCCTGACTAAGGCAAATAATAGAAATGAAAATGATGCAATGGTTGAAATGAAGGTCGGTACTATGCTGGAGCCACCAAAATGATTTAGAAGTTACTTTTCTGGTTGTTGAAAATTGAGATTGATTGAGGTGCATAAATGTCATGCACCAAATTGAGTTGAATCATTGGAATGCATCAGATTGATGCACTAGCCTGATGTTCATCAATCTGATGCACAATCTTGTTCATTAGCAAATTGAGGTGTAGGAGTTATCTGAAATTCTTGGAGTTAAAAACAATGTGTCAAAATGCCTTTTGCAAAATTCAGGTGCATCGGCAACAAACATATGTACCGAATTTAAGCTGATACACGAGAGCTGATGTACCAAAATTCAAGTGCATCGGCTAAGATGCGCCAAAATTAAGTTGCTGATGCTCCAGAATCACCAAAATCAATTTCATTATTTTGATGCAACACACGCTTGTTTTTCAGTTTATCAAGGGCATCAGCGTGTACATTTCTAGAATATAAACTGTTGGAATATAATAAACTACTGAAATATGCACTAGCAAACATTCATTCATTCGTGTTGGCTAAACTACAATTCATTCATTCATTCTCAAAATCAGGAATATGCACTAATAACTAGCTGGAATATAACCATTTATTCAAAAAGCATTCCTCCATGTTGGCTAAATTATAGTCCAAAAACATTCTCTGACTTCTCTGATGCGTTGACTAGTAAACTTGATTTTTGGACTAAATAATATTGGTTTAAGGATTTTGCCCATACATCCAAATCAATTAAAAAGTCCAACATGCCTAATATTTCTAAAAACATTATCTAGAAAAATCTATATAAATATTTACTAGAAAATTCTATATAGATATCTAAGTGAAATATGTGCTGATAAATATGGTAATGTGTCAATAATATTATGTGGTCTTATAAAGTCTATCTAGAGAATTTTAGAAAAAATATATTGTCCAAATGTATGGTCTAAAAGTCTCATGTAAATATGTGTTCTATAAGTCTCTAGAAAATTGTGTGGACTAGAAGTTTCATGTAAACACTATATAAAGGAGTATGGTCCTTTATTTTGTAACAAACCAAAGTGTGTAAGTTTTGGAGTTGAGAAAATTTAAGTTTCTTTTTGTTTACTTCCTTCTTCATATTAATATTGTCCTCCTTAAAAGCCTTAGTCAATCTAAGTTAGTAAACTCTTCTTTCCTCCAACATGATGCACTAAACTACAGCAAAAAAACATTCATCCACTTGGTTCACGTCAAAAACATTGTGAGGCTCTAAACTACAGCCATTCAGAACATAGGTTCCCAATCAACTAGCTATTCAACTTTTGCGAAATGCATTACACTGAAATGCGTTTCAAAATGCAAACATGTATTAAAAATCCTAGAATAGCAATGGCATTAATGAGAGACTAAAAAAACACATCAGAATCTTGATAAAGCATTTGCGAAAACATTCATCCACTTACTTTACGTTAAAAACATTGTGAGGCTTTAAACTATAGCCATTCAGAACATAGGTTGCCAATCAACTAGCTATTCAACTTTTGGGAAATGCATTACACCGAAATGCGTTTCAAAATGCAGACATGTATTAAAAATTCCAGAATAGCAATGGCATTAATGAGAGACTAAAAAAACACATCAGAATCTTGATAAAGCATTTGCAAAAACCTGATCCGCAATCTCTGGTTGAAGGAGCCGACCACATCAGACATTTCCTTACAAAGTAAAGAGACTAAAAAAAAACGCAGAAGAATCTAATGAATCAAGATTCAAGAAACTTTTCTCCTTGTGATATTTATAGGATGAAATCTTGTTCATTAAGGTGGTGTTTGCATGATGAAATTGATTAGGCCCAAAGATTAACGCGATGATTGTAGTACAACTTTGGGGTGTCGTATCCACAGGGAGATGGAAAATTATTTAAAGGATCAAAAGCTTAGGGTTTTTTTTGTCGTGATTTGTGTGAAAATAATTTGTCGATTGCAATAAATTGAAGTAAAAGTTTAATACCAATATATGAAATAGTGAAGCGCCGAAATTTTCTCGATTAGATTGGTTCAATCAATTTCAATTTTTGCATGAAAATACTCAATTAAAGGTTTTCATCCCAACAATTTAATAGGAAAATTTAACTTCAAACCTATTCAATTCCACAATAATTCCCCAAACCTAGATTTCTTTCATAATATAATTCCACAATAATCTATTGAAATTAGATCCAAAAGTGATTATATACATCAAGCATATAATGGTAAAGAATCACACAAATAGGAGATTTAAGATTGAAATTCAATAAGTACTTCAATTATTCGATGAAAAAAAGTGATTGAATCCATGAAAATTTATGCAAATTAAATCAACCTCAAAACATGTTCATAAGAATAAGAAATCTAAATCTAGAATTGTTTAACAATGAAAGAACACAATTTAGACCAAAAAATCCATGTAAATCATGCAATTCACAACAAAATTTAAGTTAAACTCTCCCCCCAACTAAACATTGCATTGTCCTCAATGCAAAAACATGTCTGCCAAATAAAGATAAGGAAAGATGTCACCTGAGTGCTGGAGCGAATTACGTGAGCTGAAGTATAAGAAGTCTGAAAATTTTTAATGGAAAGGGTGATGCAGAAAATGAAAATAAAAAGAATGCAATGAATAATGTATGGACTAAATCTAGAGAGAATGCATAAATGAAAATAAAAAGAAAGAGAAGGGATCGAACTCCCCTTGGGTTGCACCCAAGCAACGCCTTTGTTTATTGTAATTGGCTCGGCCCAATATTACCTTCTTCAGCCTGCATCCAGCCAGGGCGCTGTCAACCTTCGGAGCATTGCACCAAACTCATTGGAAGTAGTCACCGGTGGTATCCCATAATCCTGAAAATCATTAAAAGTAGCATCACAATCAGCATATTCCCCATTATCATCCCTTGCGGGAATTTCAGAATTTAAAAAGAAAGAATTTAAAGGATCGGGGTCAATAAATGCATGTGCTTCCTCCTCAACGAGTGCATCAATCATGTATGTTTGATGACACTCATCATCTTTCTCAAGCTGTTTCATGACGTGAAAGATGTTGACGTCTAAGGTCATGTTCTCAAAAGATTGCTTCATCAAACTATTCCTGCAATTGATAAGAGTGTTAGCTGTAACGAGAAAATGTCTACCAAGAATAATGGGAATCT